GAGTCTAGAAATATAACCCACAAATATGCTCAACTGGTTTTTGACAAAATGCAATGGCAATTGGATGGGGAAAGTACAGTCTTTTCAGCACTGGAACAACTGGACATCCATTCTGTAAACAAACAAGGAACCTCAATCTGACCTCAACGGTATCCAAAGTTAGCTCAAATAGATCTCACATCTAAATGTAAAACATAAAACAATAAAACTGCTAAGAGAAAATTTTTACAAGCTTGGGTTTGGCAGAGTTCTTAGCACAATTCAAAAAGAAAAAAAAATGATAAATTGAAATTCACCAAATAAAAAAATTTTGTTCTACAGAACCCAATTAAGAGAATGAACAGACAAGTTGCCTGGGGAAGAAATAGTTACAGATCACATTTCCAACCAAGACTAATATTTAGAATATATAAAGAATTCTCAAAATTCAACAATAAGAAACAAACAACCCAACAAAGAAGCAGGGGTAGGACCTGAACAGACACACCTCACTGAAGAGGAAATACAAACGGCAAATGGCACATGAAAAGATGCTCAACATCATTAATCTTTAGAGAAATGCAAAGTAAAACCACAATGAGCTACCATTATACATCTATTAGAATGGCTATGATAAAAAATACTGGCAGTACCAATTAGTGGTGAGAATGTGGAGCAACTGGAACTCTTATATATAAGGTGGGGATGCAAAATGGTACAGCCCCTCTGAAAACAGCCTGGCAGTTTCTTGTAAACTTAAACATACAATTACTGTATGACCCACCAGTACCACCTAGACTATAGACACCTATAGTGATTTACCCTAAAGGAGTGAAAACTTAGGTGAGTTGAAAATCAATACACAATTACGGAAATGTTTTCTGCTATGATCTCATCAGGAAGGGATGGCTTTGACGCAAAGGAGAATAGAATGTCTAGGCCTCTCTTGTGCAACGTTTGTAGGAGAGACGGGCCTGAACTGTCTGCAAAAAGGGCTTTGGGGCTGAAGAGAAACGAGCAACCTGGGCCTGACCCAGGGAGAGTGGGATTCCTGAGACCGGGGGCACAGACAGCAGCAAATCCGTGGTACTCCTGCACCTGTAAAATCCTCTGAGCGGTGCCAGGAGGGCCACAGACCGAGCACCCAGCCTGGAGAGCAGCGGGCAGACTTCCCTGGGGCGTAGCATCCTAGGGGAGAACATGAAAAGGGACATTTTCCAGCCAAGCTGCAGCAGTTCAAAGTCAGATTTTAATCCACTTTTAAAAAGAACAGCAGCATTTCTCGTAGCTGAGTGACATGGGACAAACGCCTGCTGGCTCCATAGATGTGACTTGGAAGCCCAGAATGGCTGAGATGGCGCTGGGTGAGCATTTGCCATGAGAAGAGAGCTAAGGGTGGTCTCCTGGGGACAGCATTAAGGAGCTTGTGGAAGACAAAAGGGGCGGCCAAAGGGCCAGAAGGGGACCTAGGAGAGCTTGAGGTCACAGAAGGCGTGGCAGTTTCACAAAGTAGTGAGCACTTGACAGTGAAATGCTGCAGAGTGTTCCAGAAGGTGAGGACTAAAACATCCACATCAGATTTGGCAACACGCAGTTCACTGACACGGTGGGGCAGGAGCTGGACGGCTGTAGATGGAGGAGAGTCCGTGTGGGGTCCGAACACGTGTGCCCCCTCACAGCCCTGAGCTGTCAGCTCCATGGCTAAGCAGTCAGATGCCACCAGAGCAGGGCCAGGGACAGGTAGCCGCCCTGGTCCCATCAGTGACTAGAGAGAGCAGGGTAAGCTCACCTCGGTGGAGCTCCATGACCAACAGAGGGGGACGCGCATCTGCCTCAGGTGTGGTGACCCCTCACGGACGTCACCCCGTGACCATAAGTTAGAGGAAGGTTTACACAAAGAAATGGCACATTTTCTAAGACCTGAAGATGTCCCCAGATGTCCCCCTCCTTTCTCCTTTGTCTGGCGAGGGGTATGGAAGTGAAGGACCTGGCTCTTCTGCTGCAAATTCAACACTTGTTGAGAGAGCACAATAGCTAATCACTTTGCCCTGCTTGTTTCCATGTGGCCTCCCCTTTATCCTGCCACGTGTGGGACAGATACACCCATTTCACATATGAGGAAACAGAGAGGCTGGCTTGCCCAACATCACATAGCTAAGTAGGTGGTGCAGCTGGAATCTGCACTGCCAGTACTTGGGCTCCAACTTTAGTGCTCTCTCCACTACCACGCAGTATAATTAGGAGGAAACATTCCAAGAAAATGCCATGCTCCCTTCTGTGAAAAGTGGAGAACTTCCCCTGAGACTCAGGGCAGGGACAGAGGGGGCATCCTGTTACAGCCAGCTCCCATGTCCCAGGGGCAGGAGCACAGCTGTGGGGGACCAATGGCCAGGCCACGCCCTCGCCTGCTCAGAGGACTCATCTAATGAAACCTCCTGCTTGGACAGCCCGGGCTGCCTACGGTTCTCCCTGTTTGGCTGGGTAGACCCATGGTAAGATCGCTGCCTGGGTGGCAGGTTTCCAAGGATCGGTAAGCCTGGGTCAGTGCAGAGGAGGCAGGGAATGAGTGGCATGTGCCTCTCAGAGCCACCTACGCCCAGAGGAGACATGGAGGTGTCCTGGGGCAGCAGCTTGTCACGGCATGGGAGGGCATCCCAGAAACCATCCAATTGGGGTGGGGGTACAGGAGGTGTGGGAGGCCCCCTCCACTCATGATGCACTTGTCCCAGATTCTGGGAACTGCAAGCGGAGTCTCTGGTCATGTGACCCTCTGAGGTGGGTACCCAGGCTTCTCTGGGGAATCGTCCCACCCTGCCCGTCCCAGAGCAGAGGCCCGTGGCAAATGCAAGGAAAGACACACAGAGCCAGGTGGCGTGGGTCCTAAAAGGCTGCAGCCAAGAGGACTCCACCTTGTTTTGAAAAGCAGCTTCTAAAATCAGACAACTTGGATTCAAAGTCTGACTCAGCCACTTGGTAGTTGTATAGTTTGGCCTTTGTTTCCTCATCTGTAAAACAGGGGTATTAACAATGCCTACTGCACACTTACAGGAGCTAACACACGTCAGATGGTTAGCACAGCATCTGGCACGTGGCCAACATTCAGCAAATGCTGGCTCTTGGTCCCATTACTGTGATCATTATGAGGAGCTCTCTGCGTGCATCTCCCAATTGCATCCGGACATCAGCGAAACAATAGCCCCCGGGAATCTAACCAAATCCCAGAGGCAGCTGGATGGGCAGCTAGGCTGGAGTTGGCTCCCTCTCCAAAGAGCCATCATCTGTCCCCACCGCCCTCCAACACAGTTGCTTGGCCACCGCCTCCTTCCCCAGGGACACTCAGGAGACAACAGAGTTGTCAAAGCCAGACTTCGGCTGGTACCTGGAGATGCCTAGGACCCAGGGAGCACAGGACAATGTCAGCAGAAACACCCTGCCCCGGGAGCGCGCGCGGGTACGCGCGCGCACACACACACACACACACACACACATATCATCCACCCACCCGCTTCCTGGAGATTTTACACTACTTTGGGAAGCGCCATCACCCACCTTCCACAATTGTTACACAACTGTATAGATGTCCCAGGCCGAAGGAATGTGTTTTTCTTTTCCTACCCTGACACTGTCTTTTCTCTACCTTCTCTCTCCCCTGACCCACATACCTCCACCCTGCCCTGGGAGGACTGACACAGGAAGAAGTTCTGGTTTCTAAGGAAAAACAACAGATGTGGCCTAAAACCTAACTGGGCTGCAAGGCCTGGCTTACGGACTAAGACCCACTTCCTCCCGTGGGCAGGGGTAGCAGGTCGTCTAGAATGCGTGCTCGCTCTTGCACAAGCCCCAACCGAGGACTGCACTTCCCAGCCCCACTTCATCCAGGCGGTGCTGGTGACACGCTGACACCCATACGATATGAGTGAGAATGACATGTATCGGTTCCTTGCCAGAACGTTCAAGAAGGGATGTGCCTTCTCCATGTTTTCTTTCCTCTCTCTCCCAACCAGAGTCGATGACAAAGTCACCAGGCAGGAAGAGTCTGAGTCCCTCAAAAGTAATGTGGAAGGAAGCTTCCCACTGACCCGACATCCTCCTTGGACACTGAGATGGACAAGAAACAAATGTGGATGGATTAAGCCACTGGTATTACAGGAGTTGTGGGATCCATTCGAGGAGCTGTGTTACCCCCACTGCTAACACAGTAAGCTTGGCATCTGCCCCCACAGCTTCCCGTTCAGATGGAGCAAGAAAAAAAATGGAGAAAGGACTCCCCCTGCATCGAGACGGAGACCAAAGCAAACAACCCTGAGGTGCTCAAAGGCCAGGGCCATGGAGGCAGGCCTGGAGAATTCTGTGCTTGTGGCCAGAGTGGGTACTGCGGGGTGCTGGGCTTTCATCAGTGGGATATGGATGGTGGAGGTCAGTACAGTCAATGCGGGAAACCCACAGCCAGAGCAGGAAGGTGCAGATCTTTCAGAAGAAGCCAGTGAGACCACCCATCAATTCTTTTGGAAATAGTTGAGTCAGGTAAGCAGTGAGAGTTTCTTGTGAACAGGTCTCTTACTGAGCTGGTAAAGGCAGAGGTGGAGAAAGAGAAGGAGGGAAAAAGGGAAAAGGAGGCGCTCAAGGGTCCCTCCCCACGCCTGTCTGTGTTGTGAAGGCTCACCTGCTTCTAAAGACGCACTTCAAACCATGTCCACCGTGCAGGCTTCTCTGACCTCCCTGGGTACGCCTGGTGGCTTCTTCATCTGTGCTCCAAGCCCGGTGTCCACGCTCAGCCACAGCTTCCAGCACGCTGGGGCACGAGCTCCTCAGGACCCTGCTGTGGGCTTTGCAGCCCTTGGGCCTGGCATAGGCACCCGGCACAGAGTGGGCACTGATATGGCGGGCAAATGAGTAAACAAGTGAACATGTAATTAAACGAGCAGAGCCCAAAGCTGAGGCCCACACGGAGGCTGTCTGGGTCCCTGAGCGACCATCTCAGTTTTCTACCTAGGGTGCCAGTGTAACAGCCAATGACAAAATTTTCAGGTCACACAACTTTTATTGCTGAGGGCCATTGCCGGGGGCTGTTGGAGACCTGGATGTTGCCCTCCCCAAGCCCTCAGCCTCGGTCACATGTCACTAGCCCCTCAGACTCTGCCCAGCCATGCTAGGCAACCCCAGCCTGCTCTTCCAGACCAGTGCCTTCCCACACCACTGCCAGCCTGAGCCAGGCCAGGCTGATCTGCAGGGACCCTGCCTCTGGGAGGCATAGTGCCAGCAGGCAGGTCCGTGCAGAGGGAGGGGAATGGGCAAGAGACAGGTGCTCCAGGGGGGAGGCTGGGGAACACCCGGGCCTTCCGTTGGCACAAAGGCCGGGTGCACTGAAGGCTTGCAGGGGTAGGGCAACTCAGATCCTTCGAAGGGCTTTTGTAGGGCCTGGGCACAATGTCAGCCTGCTCTCCACGCAGCCTTCATGTCAGTGCCGCTTCTGGAACTACTCAAAAATCGAAAGGCAGAGGAAGCTGAGAAGAAACTCCGAAGCCCCAGTACAGCACCGGGTGTGGGAGGTGCCTGTTCCCTCGGCTCCGGGGGGCCTGCCCTTTTCTTCATGCCCTGGTGGCAGCCCTTGCTTGGATGCCGCCGCAGGTGTGGCTCTGTGCATGTCAGAGCTGCTCACCAGCCCAAATGAGGATTTGCATCCCTGAGTATCTCAGAGGGGCCCCTTCATCCAGTCCGTCAAGGCCAGAAACATTCCGCCAGCCTCTGGAGAGGGGCGACTCCCATGAATCTCCCAGAATTCTTGGGGTGCTTGCTGCTAGCTCTGAGGGCTCCCGGAAGTTTTGGAGATTCTTTAGAAATACATCCACTGCCATCTCTTAAATATAAAACTAAACTAAAATAAATCTGCCCCAACAGCCTGTGGCCAGTCAAGAACAGTGAGCCCTGTTCCCAGTGTTTGGCCTGGACAGCCATGGCTCGGCCAGCACCGCCATCCAGGGCACCAGCGGGAGGGGGCAGGATGCTTGCAACGCCAAGGGGGGCATCTTCCCACTACAGACAGTCCAGGCACCCCGTGGCACCCATTCTCCGTCCTGCGACAGTGTGTCCCCTGGGTCGCTGGGGGCTGCTCCATCTGGGCTAATCTCTGAGTCCAGTCAGAGGAGCAAGACTTCTTGATGGGACCTTCCAGGCCCTTCCCTGAGCTCTGTTTGGGCTCCACCTCCTCCAGCCATTATGGCCGTGCCTGTAGGAACCTCCACGGTACCCAGCCTGTTATCTCCAGGTGATGTCCAGCCTGGGGTTTGGGATGAGTTGACAGTTCTCCTGGTTTCTGAAGACACTGGGAGAGCAGCAACACACGCTCACGCACACACACACGTGCACAGACACGCATGCACACACACACACACACATGCAGACACACACACACACAGTGTGTATTCACAGAGGCAGCAGACAGCAGAGGTGGGAGTAACGAAGGTGCCTGGTGGCCGTTAGCCCAGATGATGTCCCAGCGGCCCAGTCCCTGTGGTCAGAGTCTGTATGGCAGCCAGTGCCGTGAGCTGGAGCAGGGAGGCGGCTTAGGATTTCCGGAAACGCACCTCACTCTGAGGACGAGAACAGGGCAGACAGGGTGAGGCAGGCTGGGAACATCAGAGCTTAACACTCAGGCTGGCTGTCACCTGGCACTGCCCCACAGAGACAAGGGTACAGCGGAGGGAAAAAGATGGAAGCAGGTTTTGGGAGACGCACTAGACAGGGTTTCTGCAGCCCCTCCGTGTCCCGTCTGAGCTCTCTCCTCTGCTCTGCCTGCACCCAACAGGAAGGGAAGGGTGGGCACAGCGTTTCTGCCTGAGGGCTAAGACGTCAGGCCCGGGGAAGGGAGGGGCTGACTGGGTCAGCAGGTGTGGGGCTGAGTCTCCAGTTCCCGATTTCCAGATGCCAGGAGACCAACTTCCTGCCCAGGAGGAGAGGCCGCCTACACACGCCCGTGTGAACCCACGCCTTGGCCATCGCCAGGGAATGGCCTTGGTGCTGGGGCTGCACTGGCCTAGGACCACCCTTCCCCAGCCCCCTGAGCCCTGTTCTGAGGAAGGAAAAGGAAATAGGCAGCCGGGGTTGGCCTGATGGCTGCTCCCGGCTCTGTCCCGCTCTTCTGCACTTCTGCACACCCCCAAACCTGAGGGATGAGGGGACCTCTGCCAAGACCCTGCGGAAGGCCTGGGCCCTCTCCCAGGCACCCCACCTCGGTGCCCCCGGCCTGCTTGGTCCCATGCCCACACTGGGCTCTCACCTCCATCTTGCTGTAAATCCAGGGCAGGAGTTCTGCCACTTTGGTGTACACCCCAGGCTTGTTTCTCTGGCCACAGCCCGTGCCCCAGCTGGTGACCCCAGCCAGGTACCAGCGGTTGTTCTGCTCGCAGACCAGGGGCCCCCCACTGTCCCCCTACAGGCCAAAGCAGGCACATTAGTGGGGCGGGAGAGGTGGCCCTTAAGCAGGAATCGGTGGCACCTGATTCTCCCTCTAATCCCAATACCCCAGCCTTCTGCCACTGCCCTGGGGTCCCCAACCCCCACTGAGAAGCAGCTCACCTGGCAGGAGTCTCTGCCCCCCCGGAGATCTCCAGCACACATCATCCGCGGGGTGAGGTAACTGTCATAGACCAAGTAGTCATTGCACTTCCTGAAGTCGATGAGGCTGACCTGCACCTCCCGGAGGAAGGGGGATGTCCTCTCTTCAGAGAGGCACAGTCCAGGAGAGAGGACAGGGAGGGAGTGAGGCTCTGGCCAGCTCTGTGGCCTTCCAGCTGCCCGCCCCGAGACCCAGACTCACAGCCTCCCGGGAGTGGAGAGCACTATTCCCGTGGGTGGCCTCCCGGGCACACACACCCTTGTGCCAGGCACCACTCCCTATGTGTGATGGAGACATACATGTACACAGACAAACCACAGCCTATTGACCCTCCGACATGTTGCACCATGCTCCTCTGTGACCAAAGCTCCATCAAGTACATCGTTTCATTTGTATTCAGTGACTTTGTCCTGAAGAGGTGTAATTAACCCACTCGCAGAGGGAGAAACTGAAGTGACTTGCCCACAGTCACACAGTTAGTCGGCTATGCAGCCAAGGTCAGAGCAAGGCTGCTCCCAGGCCAGCCACCGCACCACCACACTGAGCTGACGCCTGCAGGGGGCCTGATAGCAGCTAGGCCAGCCGGGGGCACGCGCTCCTGCTGAACATGAACAACCCTCCAAGACCAGCATGGGGCCAGGCCGCTCTGCGACGGTGAAGAAGTGAGGCCAAGTGAGCCCCCTTCAGCACCTTATTTAAGCACGGATGAAAACAGGGTAGGGCACTGTGCAAACCACAGGAACACCAGCCGTCGCCTCCGCTCGGCCAGCATGAGTGACTGCTGCTGCTTCACTAGCAACGGCTTTAGATTCAGTCCTTTCTTAACCCCTAGATGAGGTTGTGGAGACCCCCAATCATAGGATTGCCTGCTTTCTGAAAGCATCCAAACTGGAGAAATGCTCCACCTCTGAGCCCCCCAGACCACCCAACTCCCATAAGTCCTGTCTAACACCCTCTTATCGAGATGCTCCATAGTTCTCCGTGTGTGTGTACCCCTCAGTGCAGTGAACACCAGCTTGTTCAACGGCAGGGGTTTTCCAGGTGGTGTTGGCTGGAGGGCACTGCCACACAGGCTGCCTCGACACCTACACAGGTGAATCTACACACACATTCACCCCCAGGCCCAGGAATCTATACACCCAAACCCTCATCTCCATGCACCCCCCCGCCCACACACGCAGACCCACGGTCTAGCATCTCTGCCCCTCACCGTCTGCCTCGTTGGTCTTGCCAAAGCCTGTGATCCAGCAGGTCTCATTGAGGTTGAAGGTCTGTCCGTGCATGGGGAGGCAGGCAGGGTGGACGTGCGCTGCAACAAGACTTTAAGACATCAATGAAGGGACAAGCTGGAGGTTCCGATTGGTGGGTGGGTAGGAGAGACAAGAATTTCAATGTCATAGGTCTGCCCTCCTTGATCCCAGAGTGATTCTGAATCTTTCAGGGCCTTGAACTGACCAGGCCAGGAACTTAAGCACTTTATCTGGACCCTCCGTCATTCACGTTGCTGCTAGAGTCCCCAGATTTCAGAGGGTGCCACCAAAGCAGATGCATATGCCACAGAAGCTCCCCTGTGCCAAGCTGATAGTGTGGCTGCAGGCCTCTCCCATGCTTGCTGGCCTCCATGCCAGTCTTCATCAAAGAAAGGAGAGAAGCAGGCTAATCCCAGGTACTATTGCCCTGCTGCCTCAGTGGGCTGGGGAGGGCACCTCCTGTCTGGCCACCACTGGAGACTCTCCCTCCAGGGTGAGACAACCTCCCCAAGTGGGAAGAGCACGTCCCTAGAGGCACAGACCATGAAACCCTACTCACTTGTGGCAATACTCAGAAACATTGGAAGGTGCTGTTGTATGTCACTTCATAAGCTCTCTCTGAGGGCTGGTGTCCCCAGATGGACCAGGGCATTCACCACCCTAGTCCAATTTGCAAGAGGAAAACATTAGTTGATGGAATGTTTGCAGTGTTCTCAATTGTTTGTTACACTGACTGCAGCTTCCTGCACCTGGAGTAGTGCCTGGCACATAGAAGGTACTCAGCAAATACAGGAGGGAGGGGAGGGGGAGAGAGGCGGGGGAGAAAGGAGGAAGGAAAGAAGGGAGGGAAGGAGACAGGGAGAAACAGAGGGAGAGAGAATGCATATTAAATTTTTCTCCTATCAATTAAGCTTTGATGTCTAATGTATTTGTCTGCTAGAAAGTAAACAAAATAAGAAAGGAAGGGATGGCACCAGCTATTAACATAAAATGCAAAACATGATTTCTTAAAATAGTTTGTGCTCATTTTTGAGACCCAGAATCTTAAAACATGTAACACTATTACATGTTCCACTCATTTGGGGGCCTGCATGACTGAGTTTTCACAGATAGCACTGTGGCTTCAAAGTCCTTGGCCAGACAAACGAGTTAAAGAAGATCTGCTCTGATTTCTAAACCAAAAACCAGGGCACATGATCCGACCACAGGACCACATAAATCTGAGCCTGTGATTCTCAGACTAGAGGTATGCTTCCTGCACTGGGCCTCTCAGAATCTGGAGAGGGGCTGCCATAGTCTGAAAAAGCATATACAACATTATAATAACTTTCATCTGTTTTACAAATTATGTAATTTGACTTGGAATTCCAAATAATATTAAGGGGGGTTTGGGTGGGTGGGTGAGATCTGGATGCCTAGCAAATGGCGTCTGGGTTTTACGAAGCTGGGAAGGTCTGTTCTGTCCTGAAAACTGACTGCCCCCTTTCATGTGTGCATGAGGGGGAGGGCGGGGGTGTCTCCGGCTGGTGGGCGTGGCTCCAGCTGGTGGGCGTGGCTCCGGGCCGGCCCCTCCCAACCGAGCCCGGCCTGTTTCCTCCACCTCACACCACTCAGGTGAGCTAACTGCTCTGATTCAGGACCTTTCTCCCTAACGACTGTGCCAGGAAAGGCGAGCTCACAGGCTCAGGGCGCGAGAAAGGCTGGACCCACCAAGGCGCCCTCCAAGGCTTCCGGAAATCCGGGTCTGCTCCCTCAGGGAAGCCTCCCTCGCCTGCCAAGACTGATCAGGTGCCCAGTCTGTGCCACCACGACTCCACCTGCTGCCCCCAACATCGCATCGCTGGTCTCTACTGGCTGGCTGTGTGTGTCCCCGTTTTGTTCTGTTTGCAGTGACAGCTGCAGAGCTGGCGGCAGAGCGGACACACAGTAAGTATTCCGTAAATGAACCCGTCAGTGAATGAACGAATGGATGAAGCCTTCTTTGATCTGCTCCTGAAAACTTCAGCAGTGCCTCCTTCCGTCCTGGGCTGCAACCTCCGGGCCTGAGTTGGCTGTGTGCTCGGTAGGGTCTCAGCTGTGGAGTCAGCAGTTTGCCAGCAAAGAGCCATGTGGGAGGAACACTGCTTGGGAGCTGGGCCGACCTGGCGCCGGTCCTGGAGCTGCCACTTACCACTTCATGACCTGGGTAACTATCTCTCTCTAAAGCTCCATCTCCTCAAATGTAAAATGAAGCTAATAACAGTACCTGCTCCACAGGACTGGTCGTGAGGAGTACATGAAATCATGGAAGTGAATGCCTGCCACAGTGTCTGGCTCCCGTTGGGCGCTCTGTACATACCAGTGAGGCAGTTCCATTTATTTATATTGATTAAGACCAGCATCCAAGCCTTGGTGTGTCACCAGTTGGCAATGCGAGATGGTATCATTCAGGGCAAACTTATTTCCAGCCCCTGGGCCTCCATCTCCCCAATTATAAAATAGAGGTGTTCTATTAAATGGACCCTAAGAGTCTGATTTCCACCAGGCTGAAGCTTGGGGACCCTGAGGTGGGTCAACAGGACCCTAAGATGGGTTGACGGATGCTGGCAAGGGCAGGGCTGGCCAGCCGCGAGGGCCGCCAGGATGAGCTGGGTGGGGGACAGGGGTTGCTTCACTCACCAGATAAGGCCAGGGGCTTGGAGAGCCGCATGAGGGCGATGTCGTAGTCATCCTCGTCGTCAGTATAGTTGCCGTTGATGATGATCTGGGAGATGGAGGTCGCCTCCGGCAGCTGGTGCAAGTTGTTGGTGCCTGCATATACCTTCCAGCCCTCCAAGATCTTCTCCCGGGTCCTGCAAGAGCCATGAGAGCCCCCTGGCCATGTGTGCCACACACAGATGCTGCGGCTGGGGGCACCAGCGTGCAGGCAGGAGGATGGACACCATGACCACTGCAGGGAGCCCCCTATCTTTGCCCAGGGCTCTAAAACAATCCTCTACCTCCAAAAAGCCATTCTGAAATGGCTGCTCTGCACCTTATGATAATAACGAGGGGACGAGTGAGATCTGTGTGAGTATTCACTGCTCCGTCTCCTCTGCACACCACCAAGAATCAAATAAGGAGGGCAGGCCACATCTCAGTAGTAGTATCCTCAGCAGAAACAGAGCTGCAGACAGGACAGGGCTACCCACTGAAGACTCATTGCTGGAGAAGCTGAGGCCTCGTCTCTAGAGCCCTTTTCTGTCCACCAGCTCAAAGGGACAAGCCTGGCTGGTGACCCTCAGGAGCTGACTGCACTGCCTCCCCATGGCCCCTGTCCCTCCATGCCTGGGACAGCATTCCTGATTTCTCAGTTCCTCTTCTCTAAGTTCCAGTCACAGCAGAACCCAAAGCCTCTTTATGCTATCCTGTTCCTCAGGGGCAGACCCCCAAACCCTTCTTCCTGCCGCCTCAACCTCCCGGGGCACCATCAGCAGTATTTTCTCATTCTGGGCATCCATCAGAACAAATACCCCCAACTCACTCTCCCAGGGCCAAATACCAACTGCAGACCATGACGCTGGCCACACCAGTGTGCCCAGGCCAGGCCCACAGGCGGAGCCCTCCTCCTTGGAAAGAGATGTCCCTCTGCCATCGGCCCTGCACAGTGAGCCCTGGAGGGGTGGCCCCCTCAGGCACTTACACAAAGAAGCAGTGGGCAGCAGTGAGCACCCACTGGGCGGCGATCAGCGTGCCCCCGCAGATGTGGGTGGTGCCGTAGTGCAGACTGACTTGCCAGGGCCACGTGTTCTCTGGGGCCAGCACCCCTCCCACGATCCGCCCGGTCGCGGCCCTCAGTCCGCAGTCTGGGGAGGAGCAGAAGAGACGAGCTATTGCTGGGAGCCATGCTACTCAAGCTGTGTAGCAAAACACAGACTGGAAGAAGACCCCCACAAATCAGGGGTCTTCGCAGTTGGCTCCCTCTATTACCCACCTTGATTTTGTTATTTTCCATTATACTATTGGCTTTGTTTTTACTTGCATTGTTGCCAAAGACTAAGCTAACTTTTGCTAAGCAGCACGGAAAAGATGAGAACATAAACTTCCCAAAAGCTTTTCAGGACAGTGCTCCTGAAGAATAGAACATGCAGGGGCCAAATGGTGATCTTAGCATAAAGTACTGAAACCTGCTGTTAGTTAGTCAAACATTGACCACCCCATTTCCACTGAGAATGCCCCCCTTGTTTATGCTAGTGAAACTAGTGATAGTTTTCTAGAAATCAAGTTATGAAAGAATATTGAATAGAATAACCCTGTTGACACTTAATTAATCATCTCATGTTTTCTTTCCTCTACTACTTCTATAGTTTGTTTTTCTTCTTTCCTAATCACAGCCCTTTACTAGAATTTGTGCCTCATACGTGAAATTACCAAGCACCATGATTTTCCAGGAAGTAAAGATACCTCAAAACAAGTGCTGGGCATAGAAGCCATGGAGCATAAATCTGCAAAGAAGTGAAAAACTAACCTTTTCAAAGAATATTACTTCTCTCTCACCAGCTTTACATCTCCCTGTCTGGCCCCGTAAGCTGGCTGGTTAGCCAGAGACGGGTAAGATTCCTCAAGGGAGGAACAACCTAAGACAGGCACAGTCGCAGGGGGGCCATCAGGTGAGAAAAAGGGGGCCGACAGAGGTGAGGCTCAGAACCTCACCCCCCCAGTTTTGAGAGAAATCTTCTACACCTGTGGATGTTTTGTTGCCCTTGTTCAGCTTAGATTAAGACCTAGTCTGTTGGCACAAACCTGATCATCTACACCTGCCTTCTTACAGTTCTAAATCATGCTTTCTATATCTTGCATTTACCTACTACATTAACATTTTATTAGATTCACATAGAAAATATAAAAATCAAATGAATAATCATACATTATATTTGACATGATTGTTTATAGTTTAAAGTTTGTAGTTAAAACAGAAACAGTTTCTCTGATATGAATGCCCTTGCATTGTTCACCATGTAAGAACTTGTTTAGTCCCTGCAGTAGTGGAGCCATGGAGAGCTGTGCAGCATATGTCAAAGAGATTTTGGTATCCACACAGAAGAGAGATATGTAGATAAGAAAGGGAAATTTAGTTTGCTGCCTACTGTGCCCTATAAAGGGGTATAAAGTAAAGATATGAGTTTATGATTTTAGATTGATTATAAATTTATTAAAGCCTCTAAGAAAATTTTTGTGGGAAAGAATCCTAGCTAACTGTGGCACTAGGTGACCTGTATTTCATCCTGGGCTGATAGACTCCATAGTCGCTGCTACATACTGCATGCTCCTACGGTCACATGCACTTCTTAGAAACTGTGTTGCATAGAAACGTAAAACACAATAGAGTACATGTTAATGAGAAAAGTTTTAGTCAAAGAACAGAAAAACAATCACCTGTCTAACGCTTGACCAACCATAAATAGATTAGAAAGTAAAAGAAAGAAAAAAGCTTGCCTATACTTATTAACCAACTGTGTATTCTAGTTAATCATCAAAATAATAAAAAATAATCATATCCTTGTGCAAAATAGTATAAATAAAGCTGTCATCAGCACTTTGTCGAGAGATCACCTCCATCTGACTCCGAGTCCTGTCTCTCCATGCGCCGACTCCATCCTGCACCTTCGGGCATCCCACCCCTAGGCTGGAGCTGGACTCCCGCAAGCTATGAACTCAGCCTTCTTCAGGGCTGCCATTCTGCTCCCCGGGGTTACAGGCAGGCCCAGGCAGCCCCAGCCTGAGGGCACCTGCCCGCACCTTGACGCAGCTTTGCTCACTTAGTCTGATGCAACACAGCTGTTCCTACCAAGGCCGAGCTCCCACCTGGTGGGTGAGCTTTCTGGGATCATCTAGTGGGAAGTTTGATCCCAGGCAGAGCCCATTCATTCATTCTTTCATTAATTCAACAAGTGCTTACTGAGTGCCTGATGCCTTGGGCACTGGGTCAGGCATCAAGGTCCTGACAGTGATACCACAGCTGCCACCTGGAGCTCAGGAAAGCAGACCAAGTCTAAATGACCTTGAATTGACAGGCATGTGATGGGGATCTCTGTTATTTCAAAACAAAGGAGACATAAACATCCCATGACATGTGTGTGGGTTTGTGCCCCATGGCTCCCCAGTGGGCCATTTAGTGCTGTCGGGAACCCTGCTCCCTAAGGGAACACTTCCCATGTTCTGGAGTGAGTCATCCCCCTGAAACACGGACATGGAGGGCAGCCCTTGGAGTTTGTTCAGACCTGTGTGCTTTTTCCTGAGAAGGAGGAGAGAGTGGAGAGCCAGTGGGGTCTGAGGGGTGGGCACCTCGCCTGTGGCACTGTGCCAGCCCGCCCAGAGGGGCAGCCCTGCCTGTCGTCACTGAGAGCACAGTGCTCGGGGACCTGTGAACAGCTTGGGCTTGGGGTCAGACCTGAGGTCAAAGGCCAGCTCCTCACCTACTAGCAGTCTGACATCAAGCCAAGCAAGCACTTCAGTATCTTTTCAGTAAGTGGACAATAGTGGCACCTGCCTTGTGATAATTAAATCATGTTTATAAAGAGATAGGCACAGTGCCTTGTGTGTAGATGTGCTCAGTAAATGTTGGCTCTGATTTAGTTCCGCGTCTATTAATGTGGAGGCTTTCAGCTGGCCCAGACTCGCTCTCCCAGTGCTCTGGCCCCTGTCCAGAACCCAGGAGACTTGAATGGAGCTTTCTGGGTATGAGCAAGGCTGCTGGGCTGAGCAGAGTCTGGAAAAGCGGAAATGCTACCCTGAGACTCTCCCAGTGCCTTATAGGGACTCTGGCCCTGAAGCAGGCCTGCTGGTTAAGCCCCACTTCCTGGCTGGTTGCCTCCCCCAGAGGGGTCCCACCCCACAGCCCCCTGATTCCCACCCCACACAGGCCACAATCCAGGAGGAAGAGTATCTTCTTACGGGAACACTGAAGAGAGACATACCGCTGGGAAGGGCATTCAGACCTGTACAGGACACAGAAAATGGGACAAGGGCACATTAGCTACCTCCTCCTGGAAGCCTTTCCTGATTGACTCCTGCTGAGTTCCTATCCCATCCCGTTTGCCTAAGAAGATGGAGATTCCCTCCCTCCCAGTAGGATGGACCCTTCTAGTGCTTTCTCCAGGAATGGTGATGGCTCAGTGCAAACCATGCCCACCCTTCTCCCCACCCTCCAGTTTTCCTGTGATTGCACACATTGACTGCATCCTCATTCTTTGAACTCATGACTTCATTGTCTCAGCATCCTTCCACAGCTGAACAGGTGGCCTACCACTCCTCTGACAGCTCCCCACGCCCCGCCAACAAAGTAGCACGCAAACCACCTAGCCCAGAGCAGGCACCCAGATGCAGCTGATCCACTTCCTTTCCCTCCCCACCTCTTCTTCTCCCCTCTCCCCAAGGTGAACCCTGCTAGCTGGTCGGGCACCCCCAAGCTCCCCCTCAGTGGGGTTGGGACAAAGGCAGGGCTGCAGTGCAAAGATGACAGATGGTGAGGCCTAGGAGGAGCCATGCTTCCCAGATGGGCCTCGGGGCCCTGACCACTTGCACCTGGCTTTCCCCCTGCTGCTGCGCCCCCTCCCCACTCCTGGCCGCAGGGATGTTCACCCCTGCCCATCCCAAGCCTATGCTCTGTGGCAGCTTTCTGTCCAAACACCTGGCTGGTGGTTCCAAGCTTTATTCATTGTCTCTGACAACCACGTAAACTCTTGGCGGTACCCCTGACCTCGATGTATTCTCTGCAGGAAGCTTCAAGAGGAACCTTTAAGTCAGGAGATGGGTGGGAAATGAGGACTGTTTCTGAGATGCTCCTGACATTCACGACGGCCTCCTGGAGGCTGGGCCCCAGAGAGGCCGAAGGAGGGGGGCTCCCTGACTCAAGCAGCCCCTCGTTCCCCGGCCCACAGATAGAGCCACCCCGCCATACCTGTGGAGGCTTTCTTGGATGCTGGAGTTGTACTTGGAGATAGAGAAACTGCTGGCGAAACCGCTGTGGGCCACTTCGGTGGTCCTGTACGCACTGCAAGGGAGGAGAGGTGAAGAGTGAGCTCTGGAGGCGGGGCCCCCCCCCGGGGCCCCCTCCGGCATCGGAGTCCCGGCCAGCCCTGCCGACAGAGGCCAGAGGCAGTTAAGGCAGGAGGCTCAGAGCCCACCCACATATCCCGCCCCTGCCCCCCACCAACCCTATGCACCAACCCAGTAGTTTCCAAAGTGGTCTGGGAGCATGAGTACCACCTGGGAATCTGTAAGAAATGCAAACTCTTGGGCTCTGCCCCAGACCTGCTGCATCAGGAGCTCCCTTTTTGTGTTTCAGCAGAATCCGGGTGGCTCTGATGCACTCTCTCGTTTGAAAAACACTGACTTATCCCTTTTCTGTCCAAACTGTGATCCATGGACCAGCAGCAGCAATATCACCCGGGACCTGCTGAGCCAGACTCTCTACTTGAAAGATCCCCATGTTACCGGTCTGCACATTAAAGTCTGAGAAACTTCTACTCGCTTGCTAGATCTCAGACCCCATGTGCGTGAGGATCACCTCGGGATGTTTGTTAGTCCCAAATCCTAAGTCCAGAGAGTCTGATTTGGGGGTGCATTGTAACAAGCACCCCAGGTGATTCTGATGCGGGCGATTCATGGACCACGATCTGCATGGCACTTCCGTGCACTTCTGGAACATGCAGCACCCTTGGTGAGCGTGCCTTTCCACATGGGGCTCCTCCGTTCTCTGCTCCCCTCCAGGCGCAGTCGGTGGCCTCTCCGCGGGCCCGCAGTGCTGCGCACAGGTCCTCTCTGCATCGCACTGCACTGTCGTTATCCATCTAAGCCTTTCTCACCCACACCATGGCAGAGGTTCGCCAAGGGCAGGATCTTGGCCAGGTGCCACATAGTTTCTGGCGCATATTAAAAGCTAAGCGAATGTTCTTTGAATAAGTGCCACCATCTACGGTGGAAGCCCAAGGGAGGTTCAGTTTACATAAAGTCACACAGCTCAGTGACCAGAGGCGTGTGTCATCTTCCAACGACATCACCCAGATTCCCTTTCACAGGTCGAAGCTGAGGTCCAGGATGGTGGGGAGGGGGGGAAGGGGGGGACGGGACAGAGAACTGGTTCTAAGTCCTACCCACAAGCCCTGGTTTTGTGCAGAAATCTCACAGCGGCATCCTAGACCCTTCTCCCCACAATCTGACACACATTGGTGGACCCCAAAACCACTTGGTTTGAAAACTCAGACCAAGAGGGCGGATGAGACGCCTCTGTGACTGCACATCAGACACTCTTCCAGATGGAAGGTGATTGTTGAAACCCTACTTCCCGCTCCACCCAGCAGCAGCAGCGGCGGCTTTTTATTCAAAAACTTTGGAGCCAAAGATTCTTACGTCTCTGTCTGGCCACAGCCACCAACCACCTCTTTTCCTGCCTGATGCTTTCCAGCCCAAACCACAGCCTCTGCAGCTCCGAGCCCCCCTGAAGGGTCTTCACAGCCTAAGCTTCTAGTTTCCAGATGTGAGCGGAAATCTGGACCTGCCCAATGCCTTCCCACTCACAGGGCTGCTGCCACTTGAATGTGACAGTGGGCATCACGGTGCTTTGATGAACAGACCCGTACAGCAGTGGGGTCCTCTTGCAGATCTACAAGTAATGATTTTGGCCTCATGGCAACAGCCTGTCCCCAGACTTGGGCTCCCAGGGCCACTGTCCCTTTGAATAACTCAAGGGTGTCTTATGCCAGTGACCTCAGCCCTGGTCCCCAAGAGCATTTTTAACATGAGGCTCCCGTGATGAGCCTGAGATGCCCGTGCAAAGAGCCCGAGGCCTGCCTGCAGCCAGGACTCTGGGGACAGGCTCACCTCTTGAAACCCAGCTGCCGGCAGGTGTTCTCTGAGTAGGAGCTGTTCCAGCTGTCGCTGCAAACAGGAAGCCACTGCTGGGAGGATCCAGAGTAGACGCTAAGCAGAGACTTGTCCCAGTCAAACCTCACTGCAGGGCAAGGAGAGATTAGGGCAGGTCCTCAGCTCTCAGGAAGCCCCAGGTTCTTGAGGAATGACCAGGTAAGGCTCGAGATGCTTCTGTCTGGAGGCTCCTCTCTGAGGCCTGGGACATGCCCAGGAGTTTGACCCAGTAGGTGATAATGACCAGCCAGTGCTCAGAAGCCCAAGATGCTCTGTAAGGGCAGAGCCAAGGGATGGGGCGGAGGCAGGGCATACAGCTCTCTGTGCAGCAGGACCCAGGGGGCCATTGCTGGGAGAAGGGGTGAGCACCGCCTGGAGCCATCACCCCCAAAAAGACAGAGACCTGCCCAAACAAGCCACTGACAAGGGGAGCGGGGCTGCGATCTGACGGAATGCTCACTGGGCAGGCTCTATCACAGAGGGACAGTCCTCGGCAAGGACACATGTTACCCATGCGTGGAATAAATAGGACCTGTGCCCAGACACCCACCAGGGCTGTACGTAGCCACTGAGGACCAGAGACCCTTCAAAGAGATCTTTGTGCCCATCAAGATCAGCTGTTTACAAGCTGACCCTCATGAAACCATAGGGGTGGCAAGTCAAAGGTCCCTTGCTGGGCAAAGAGGAGGGACAGGTGGGCAGGACTGTAGACTCCACACATACACCCACACAGAGCAGCGCTGCTTGGCTCAGTCTGATAGATGGGAGTCACTGGAGTTTATTTGAGAGCCACTAATCTTGTCCAATCCACTCATTTTACAAATAATGAAACTGAAGGCCAGAAAAGGTAAGTGACTAGCCGAAGTCACACAGCACTCAAAGGCCGGTTTCAAACACAGGTCTGCTGCAACTAGAACCCTGATCCTCCAGTTATCTGTCCATGGCCTCCCATTTGAGCTGCTATGCGATTTGCAGTCAGCAGAGCACACAGTCGTCACAGTGCACAAGTGCATGCACACACCTGCCCAGCCCTCACCCCTGCCAGCTCTCACCCCTGCCCAGCCCTCACCCGTGCACAACCCTCACCCCTGCACAGGCCTCGCCCCTGCCCAGCCCTCACCCCTGCGCAGCCCTCACCCCTGCCCAGCCCTTACCACAGCCCAGCCCTCACCCCTGCCCAGCCCTCACCCCTGCCCAGCCCTCACCCCTGCCCAGCCCTCACCCCTGCCCAGCCCTCACCCCTGCCCAGCCCTCACCCCTGCCCAGCCCTCACCACAGCCCAGCCCTCACCCCTGCCCAGCCCTCATCCCTGCCCAGCCCTCACCCCTGCCCAGCCCTTACCACAGCCCAGCTCGTCGCTCTTCAGTTTACAGTCCACCACCCCGTCACAGCGCACAGCGTGCCTGGGGCAGCTCTCCACCGGCTCCTTGTACTTGATCCCTGTATGGCCCCTCCAGAAATAGACTGGAAGAAATGGAACAGACAGCTGGGTCAGTGCCAGCCCCAGAGCCCTGAGACACTAAGAAGCCCCAGGTCCTGGGGGTTCTGAACCACCGACCTGCAATCCCTCTTGGCCTCTGGGGCTCTTGTCCCCCATCTGTAGGGAAAGGAAGGCTGCTCAGGAATGCTCCAGAAAGCTCCTGCAAGCAGGGCAGCACCAGGCAGTCTCAAGCAGCCATCCAGATGGGAGAAAGTGAGAGAGGATGCTGTGGGAGTGGGCACTACTTTGGGGCTCCCGTGCCCCCAGGCTGGCCCAGGTGGTGGCCAGAGAAAGCACCTCCTCCAGCATCCCAGGGCCCCCTTCTCAGAGCCCCGCTGGTGCCCCTTCATCTCGGTGCTCTGTGGGCCTTAGCAGGGAAACTTCTTTCTGCTGTCAAGCACTCGCTAGAACTGCACGTCCTGTCCTCACAGGCTGTCCTTCCAGCCTCAGCAGCTCCTGGATTTTCTTCTTCTTCCCTCTCCCCTGGACAAGGGATGTTCCCTATGCTCAGCTCTTGCCGAATTCTTGGCTTTATGCTTTAAATGTGTCCCCACTCAAAGAGCAGCTCCGGATGGCTGCGTCCCAAATGCACAAGCTGTACAGACCAGATGTGAAGACCAGCGCTGTGCCTCCTGCTGCCCAGAACGCCAATCCCTCTCCCAGCTGGGACTGTCACTCCCCTGCCTGGAGACACCTCCCCGTGGATGCCCAACAAACCCAGGTTCTAAACCCCACCCTCCTCTCCTCCTCAGCCCTGGCCCCCCACTTCTTCTGCTGGCCCTACCGTGCTCTCGGTCACCAAAGGTGAAGGTCACCCAGGGGTGTCTGCTCCCCAGGTCTAGACGCCAGTCCCGCCTGGTCTCCTGGACTTGCTCCTCCTGTCTGTGCCCTGGTCTCCCCCTCCCAGGCCCTGGGCACTTCTGGGAACCTGGCAGTCCCTCTCAGAGTGCTCAAGAAGCCACCTGTCGAGGGGCCACCCTGACAAGTAGTGGACAGAGCTCCGGACAGCGGGTCAGAGAGGCTGGGGCTCTATTCCCGACCCCCTTGGCCCCGCGGAGTTGCTCAGTGACCGACACAAATCCAGCTGCCTCCCTGGCCCCGGGAGGTCTAGAGTCAGGGGCCTCCGGGAAACGCTGGAGCTGTAACTCCACTTGGGGAGCCCGCCTGGATGCCACCTCACCCCTCCATGGGCTACTTCTTACTGCTCTTCCAGGGGGCCGCCAGGGGGCCCCCCAGGGCTGACGCCCTGTGTGGGGACAGGAAGGAGAGCAGGGCAGTGAGGCTTGGCAGGAGGTTCACATGGAAGTCATGGGCAGGCACAGCGTGGGGGCCTTTACATGCATCATGACAGAGATGCCGTCACCTTGTGGGCAGGAGGTGAAACTGAGGCTCGGGGAGTTAAGGAAATTGCTGGGCTCACACGGCTGGTAAGTGGCAGAGCTGGGGGCTATGGGAGGCCTGGCTGGTACTAAAGCTGTGGCCTCCACCAGCATGCCACCTCCTCCTGCACAATTCTCTCCCTCAAACAGCCCTGCAGGCCAGGCCTTTCCCCAGCGCTGTCCGCCCTTCCCTTCACCCACCATGCTGCCTCTTTCACAGAGCCTTACCCCTCAGCCTGGCGACCTACTAACCAGATGTCTCCCAGGGCCCCAGATGAACATTCTCCTCTCTGGTGAAGCAGGCCCCTCCCCTCCGCAGGCCGACCTCGGCCATCTGCCCCCACATTTCCTGGAGCTGCTCCCCCTGCTCAGATGCCCTGTCCAGGATGCACTGCCATCTAGGCCCTTATCGGGCTCCGTGGTCTCCCTGAGCTGTTTTCTGCCACTCGAGCCCACAGAGCTGTCACCTTGTCCCTGACGTCACATTCAGCCTTAATTATTCCCAGCTGGGTCCCCCACGAGACCACTCTCCCCAGGAATGGGGTGGCTCCCCTTTCATTCCCTCCTAAGGCTTCCCACTATGCTGGGCTCACAGTGGACCCCCAGCAGAGAACCCTGGGACATGTCCTGAGTATCTTTTCCAAAGAGGGGGTGAAATTGTGGGGGACTGAATCCCTGACCACTTTCTCCCATTGATGGAAAACGCCTGACTTTTTCTAATCAGGGATTTTAAGATTTTTTAACAGATCATTAGCATTTTTAGAGTGGGATTTTGTGGCAAGCATTGTGCCATTCTCTTATTCATTCCTCAGAACCCAGTGAAGTCTTTATGAGATCTTTTCAGGCAGGTAGTAAGGTGAATGAATGAATGAATTTCATCCCATTTGAAGACGCAAACACTGAGCTCAGAGGGGTTCACTAACTTGCCCAAGGAAATTACACAGTGAATGACACAGATGGGAGCCCAGCCCAGGCCCTCCCACTTCCCACACCCTCAACCCAGCCACCTCAGAGGGCCCCGGGGGTGCCGTGGTCCAAGGCCATTTGCAGGAGTGTCCCTCTGTGGGTATGGCAGCCAGTGAGTGTGTGTACCCCCTGCCCAGCCCCTACTATGTCCCTCAGCCCCAGACCCCATGCCCCCCCAACTCCCAGAGTCCCCGCTCCCTCTGTTAAACTCACAGAGAATTATGAGCGACACCACCAGAGCGATCAGGAGAAGCACACATCCGATGAGTGGCAGCCGCTTCCGGCCCTCCTGCCAGGTGAGCTTGGGCAAGCTGAGTCCTAGGAGCGGGGCAGTAGCAGGGGAGGGAGAGGCTGTTGGAGAGGGGTCCAGCGCCGTGGAGCAGGGAGAAGGAAACAAGGCTGGCCCCCCAGGGCCCCGTTAGGACCTCTCCACTCCAGACCCCAACCACCCCACCCCTACCCCTTGATACCTGCAGTTCCCCTTTACTGAGCATCTACCAAGGGCCAGCCAGGCTTTGGCACATGCTGTCTTATTTAATGCTCGCAGCAACCTGGGCATTATTTTGTGTGAGCTAGGCATCAATATGCCCATTTTATAGATGGGGAAACTGAGGCTCATGAAAGTTAAATAACTTGCTCAAGGTTACTTGGCTAGTGAGGGGCAGAGCAGGGATTCACAGGAAGCATGTCTGATTCCAAAGGCCACCGCAGCCAAGCACCTCAGCAGCTCTTGTGAGGCGAGGCTGTGAGACGGCCCCACGTCTGGGGTGTTCCTCCAGGCCTGTTTGTATGGTGGTGATGGGGACAGTCTGAAGTCTAGGACAGGAGGAGGGCAAAGCTGAGTGGGCAAAAATACTGTTCCTTTAAGGGCAGAGCCAGTGCCCAAGGCCCGTGGCATCTCAAACTCCCCAGGAGCTGAGTCGTATAAGCCAGGTTGGAAAGCTGGGGCTGGGGTGTGCCCACCAGGTCAGGATCGCTCCCTTTTCTCCTCCATCCACAACAGGCCCAGGTCAGGACCCTGCTTTGGTGCAGACCCTAACTTTCCTGGCAGAGCCACAGGGCAACGCAAGGGAAGAGCCCTAGTCTTGAACCAGGAGCTCTTGCTCTCAAATTCTGCACTCTGACCCAGACTGTGCAGCCTCGAAGTTACACCTGCTTTGTTCTTCCTGGTTCCCCGCCGCCCCGCCCCCAGCCCCATTTGTCCCATTTTCACATGGTCTTGCATGTAATGTCCTGCATGTTTACATGTAATGGTTCCTTTCTGCCCCCACCTCTCCAGGCCCCACACTGCCCGCCCCCATGCCCCCTCCTTCCCATGTGCCATCATCCAAGGTGTAGGAGAGTTGCCGTGTGCCAACTCTGAGATTTCCTGCCTGCGCATGGGCTGCTTCTCTGCTTCTCTTGACCTCCCTGCAGCACCCCCTTACCTGGGGTCTCCCTGGTGGCTGGCACTGTCCTGGCAGGAGATGCGCGGATGGGTACGGCCCCCACTGGTGTTGCTCTAACCAGGTACACTCTCGTTGGCGAGGATGCTGTGGAGGCTGACCTGGCAGACAGTGACCTGCCGGATGCTGACCTGGAAGGGGACGCCCAGCCTGGGGTTGCCCGGGCTGGAGATGCCCGGGCTGGTGACGTCCTTGCCGGGGAAGCATTCTGAAACGGAGTGCAGGGCATCTCTCAGATCTCTCAGGCTGCTCCCCTGCCAGCCCACCCAGCTGTCAGCCCTGCTGAGCTAGGAGACACGTGCTCCAGGGCAAGCGGCTCGGGGCTGTGCAGGTCCCCTGGCCAGAGAGGCATCTGGGAAGAGAGTGTCCAGGGATGGAGGGAAAATGCAAGGAGGCTGCTGACCCCAGCTCTCCACGGTTTCTCCCCATCGCAGGGACCGGCAGAGGCGGGCCATCTGCCCAGGGCTCGGGGGTCACTGCGTTGGCTGCACAGCTCTAGGGACCCTCTGAGGAGGCCGCTGCATTGCACCCTCACTCTGAGGGCCACTCAAAGAGGTGGGGCTCCCTGTGGGGGCAGTAACCACCCTTTCTGCCCTCTTTGCCTCCAAGCCCCCACATCCCTGCCTTTTTCTTTTATGTGTGTGTGTTAGATGATAAAACATCATTCTTACTCTACACTGTCATCAAAAAGTGTGAAAAACGCTGCCAAAGGAAGCCAGCCTGCCTTGTGTACCACGGTTCTCAGGAACTGCAGCTCACACACTCACACACACACCAGTACATCAAGGCAACCAGAGAGGCGAGATGCAGAAGGTGCAGGCTTGGGTACAGCCCTCCACTCTGGCAGGATCCTTAACCTGCTCAGCATCAGGGGAGGGATTTATTCACACAATTCAGTACTTTGAAGTGCGTGATAGAGGACTTACGCTCTAAGAGCTGTACATGTGTTTTCTCCCTTAATGCTTAGAACAGCCCCATGAGGTAGGAAGTCTTATGATCCCCATTTTGCACAGTGAGACTAAGCAACTTGATCAAGCCCTCCTAGCTGGAGACAGCAGAGCCAGGATGCGGGCGCAGAAGGTGGGGCCCCGGGGGCCATGCTCAGCCATGAGGCCTTGCTGCCGCTCTGAGGAGGGATGCCCAGGATGTTGCACAGCCGGCCTTGGGGGATCAAAGGTTCTGTTCCTGTCCAGAGTGAAGCCTTTGGGGTGCTCTGCATCTGGGGAGGGAGCTGGTGGGCGCTCCGGCAGCGAGAAGTGCTTCACAGCTTCCGCTGGCTGCTGAGCTCTGGTGTGCAGGACCCCAGCCCCCGTCACCAGATCCATCCTCTTCCCACCTCCCCGCAGCCCCTTCCAGAACTCCCTCCGCCCTCTCTCACATCCTCTCTGCCTCTCAAGCCCCTCTAGAAATCCCCAGAGAAGCAGAGGCTGCTGGCAATTGATTTGGCCCAGGGGCCACATCCTGCCCTCATCTTAATTTCTGCTGAGCACTGGCCAACTGCTCAGAGGGCAGCCGGGGAGCTGCGGGAATAGTCAGGGAAGGAACCCACGTTCAGGGCCCCAGGCGGGTGTGGGGGGAAGGTTGGCAGGGCTGTGTGGAGACAGGACCTGGACTTGTGGCACCTCTCTTTCCATCCCCCACTACTGCTGTGCTTAAAGCCATTTGACATTATTAGCAAACAGACCAGTTAATAAGTCGTCCTCATTAGAACATCTGGCCCAAGTCAACACCAACATCCCTACCAGGAGGCGTTTTGTCTTTTGTTTGTTTTTATTTTTATTTTTTAACCCCTTAGTCTAAGAGTCGGAGGTAATTGATTTGGTTACTTCCTCCTTTTTCTGGAGGCTGTGGGATGAATTCAAAGAGGAACCTCGACTCCCTGGCCACACTCAGCTTGCCAGAGGCAGGGACCAGGAGCGACTATCCCAGGAGTTACTGGGGCTAATTAATGGATGTAGATAAATGCACAGAGGCCTGAAGCCCAGCCAGCTAAGCAGGGTCACTCTTGTGTTTTGGAACCCGAATGGCAGCTGACACAGGTGAACTAGAGCTCCGGTTTCCCTCTCACGCCCATCGACTGGAGACTAGATTTCCTTACAACAAGGACAGATTCACCCCTGGAAGCTTCAAGGGGAACACAACTGGGTTTGGAGCAAGGAGAGGTGGTGAGGATATGTGGAAGTAGAGAGAAAGCCTCAGGCGACAGCGTCAGGAGGCAGCCCTGGCTTGGGAGCTGGGCAGACATGGGTCCCTATCCTAGTCCTGTGGGTCCCTATCCTAGACCTGTGGGTCCCTATCCTAGACCTGTGGGTCCCTACCCTAGATGTGTGGGTCCCTATCGTAGATCTGTGGGTCCCATCCTGGATCTGGCAGTATGCCCTTGGGCAAGCCATGTAACTTCCCTTTCTCTTTGGGTCAGTCTGCAGACCAGGAACTCATAACCCGAGGATTTGATGAGATAAAAGAGGGCACAGGAGCTGGGCAGGAAGCAGGCATTCCTGTTCCCTGTGCACTGCACACACAGTGCCAACTGTGCTGAGATTTCTGAGATTTCACAGCCTGGAGACGTAAGATGATGAGAGAGGAAGGAGGGGGCTGGACCTTCAATGAGAGGGACAAGCCCAGGCCGCATAGAGAGAGCCCTGTGTTTCCCACTAGTGGTGGCCTGAGCCTTGGCACCTGCTGGGGACCCTGGCACAGTGGCACCTCCCACGGCCTGCCAGGCCTCCCTCCCTGTTAGGCTCGTACTGTAAGTTTTCCCCAACCTTGGAGACAATTCCTGTAACTCGATACAATAAATGATAAGACCACACCATGTGTGGTACTTTAGAGTTTGCAATAAACTTCCACGCCCAGAGCTTTGTGAGATCCTCACTCCATCCTTGAAAGGTTGATATTTTTAGAAGCCTCATTATACTGATGGGAAAACTGAGGCTCAGGCTCAGCTTGCCCAGAATCTCATAATCAGGATTCAACCCTAAGTCTCTGTGCACTGAGTCCCCTGCCTTCGCAAGACAGCAGCAAGAACCGCCTGGCACAGTCTTCTGGCCATGGGCACAGGCTCTGCTTGGGTGACATGGCCTAAGAACAGGGACCTGAGGCCTTATAGGGCTGGGAGCCCCTGGAGTGGGGCCTGGGGGTCCTGTCAGCATCTCAGACTTGTGGAACTTTCTGTGGAAGTCATGGTTAGGCTGTGTGGCCTGCCAGGACCAGGCAGAGCCTGGTACATTGGAGCATCACAGCTTTCAAGGACCCTCTCAGCCAGCTGGTGACTCTGAGCAAGGGACGTAGCCTCCTGACTCCTTGGCTTCCTTTTCTGTAAGGCGAGCCCATCACCTTGCTTCACAGCATCATAGTGATAGATGCTGTATGTAAAGTAAGGACTTAGTGAACATTGTCTGTGATGGTGGGTGGGTGTTCGATTGGTAAAGATGCTGAGCTCAAAATAGAAAAATTCGTGGTCAAATATGACTGCATCCATTCCTAGCTGGGTTACCTTGGGCAAGTAAGTCAGCACTTCAGAGTCTGTCTCCACACGTGTAAAATGGGATTCGTCTTGCCTCCGTCCCCCAGATGAACACAGAGGCAGCAGGAAATCCCAGTCTGCAAAAGTGTGTCACACCACAATAAAGGCAATAGCCCATTAGGGACCCCATCCTCTTTTATAGGTTTTTGAAACTGAGGTCCAGGGAGGTTATGCACAGGCCCAAATTTCTCTCTCTGGCCAGTGACAGGGCCTGGATCCTAAGCAGGCCTCCTAAGAGCAAGCAGTCTGGACCAGCAGCACCGCCAGCGTCCCTGGGGACTTCCTTCATTTCTCTGGGGCTTACAGTTTTGCCAAAGAACTTCCACACCCATTATTTCCTTTGATTCTCAGGCGGGTAGTCCCTAGCCAGACTTTTAAGATTGCTGACTGTGAGCCTCCTGGCCCAGTATAAGGCCTTCCCAAGGCTGGGAAGTATGGGGAGTGCAGATGGAGGGGATGGGGGCAGGGGGTAGAAAGGGCAATGTCCAGAAAGAACCAGAGGCCCTGGGGGCCCTGGCCTCAGGAGGGTGCGAGGGGGAAGCAGGCAGAGCTTGGGGCCCCACAGAACATGGCAAGAGAAGAGACTGGGACCCTGAGTCCCAAAGGAGGGCTGCCCTGTGGGAAACTGCAAGCCCCGGCAGGCTGGGAGGGAGGGCCAGAGGAACCTGTGAGGTTCCTCCCGCTGGCCAGCCCATGACCCCTGTGAGGCTCTTCGTGATGGCCAGCCCACTACAGCTGCAACTTATTTCCTTTCCTCAGTTCTTGGAGGGCAACTGCCGAGATCCAGCCTCCCTCCCGGAAACCTGAACTCACCTCAGAGCACGTGCCCTGAGCAGGTGGGAAGAGGGACCAGAGGGGACTTCTTGCCCAAGGTCTCAAGTTACAAGGGGCAGAGCCCAGGCCCACCAGCCAGCTCCTACCCTTTGCCAGTGAGCAGAAGAGCCAGGAATGGAACTCAAAGGAGCACCTCCAGGGCAATGACCCCAGCCTCTCCACGACCTTCCTGCAGGCCAGAGGCTCTTCAGCCTGCCAGCAACCCCTTTTCACGGCCCGAGGGCAGTTCTGTCAGGGCCTGTCAAAGCCGGCCCAAGCTGAAGGGCCTCCCTGCCCCGCCCTGCCTAAAACCCCCACCCAGGGGCAGGCTGGGCAGGTCACCGGCAAGGCCTCCCTTGCCCCAGGCACAGGGGAGTCTGGCTTCTGCTCTAACCAGGAGGGTGACCTCAGGGACAGTCACACCCCTCTCTGGGTCTCAGCACTTTCATCTATGAAATGAAGGGGTTGGACAATCAGCTGTTTTCAAGCAGGGTTCCACAGAGCACGTGAGGTTCCGTGGAGATGCTTCAGGGACCAGTTTAGTAGGAAGAGGGCTGAGTCCTTTATCCCACTTCAAACAGAGGATATTCACTCTGCAGTTGTGTACAGTAGGCTTCACCTGAGGTTTCACTTGAACAAAAGGGGCTGCTCCTCCAAAGAACTTGAAAATTACTGGCCTGGGTGAGCACTAAAGTTCTTTCTAGTTTAAGGTGCCTCCTATACCTGTGAAAAAGCCTCAGGGATCCCCATTAGACCAGAATCAAAATACCTCTGTGTTCATTCATTCACTCATCAAATAGTTTAAAGAATATCGAGCACCCACTATTGCCAAGCAAATATGTGATCGGCCAGGAACTTGCTGCCTTGGTTTCTCCCCATGTCCCCTTTCTGCCAATGCTGGGGTGGTGACAGGGTTCCAGGATGGTACACCGTGGGGCTCCCTGCACAGTCCTGGGTATCACTGCCCTGTAGGAATGGCAAGACCCCACTCACTCGACAAAGCCCTGGGTTCCCTCTGCCAGCTTCCCTCGCACCTCCCCGCACACCCTGCCCTCTCCACTGGGTACAGTCCACTCTGCTGGTGCTGCGCCAAGAGGAAGCTGCTTTGCCAAAACAAGACACTTAAGCTAAGTGATTATTGTTACATCATTTGGCCTTCCCGCCCAGCATCCCAGCCTGGAGCCCGGTACACACACTCCCACACATCCACACTCCCATTTGCCAAGTCACAGGGTCATTGCAGGGGGAGGCTGGGCATGATGGGCCAAGAAGATTGCCCAGCTGCAATGACAACATGAAACACAAAGGTCTCAGGGGAGGGCAGCAGAGCCTGCAGGGGCAAAGGGCAGGTGCCAGGGGTCCTGGGGGTGCCTTCCTGTGGGGTCTGGGGATGGCAGAGTGACCTGAGCCTACTGGTCTGCCATCTGCGAACCTGCCCAGTCCCTCTGGGACCAGCCCTGGCACCTCCAGCCATTCTCAAGTCCATAGCATCTGTGGTCTTGGACTGATTAAGAACCTGCTTCAACTTTAAGAAGGCCACTCACTCTACAGAGGATCCTTTATCAGTGGGTCTACTTAAGTCTTTCTTTAATAACCATTGCACTTGTTTAAGCATTGAGAATGTGACACCTTTTGAAAAAAACACAAAATACATACTATTTTTCAAGAACAAATGCTTAAATCTAGCATAGCATGCCCACAATCCATTCAATATAATTGCAGAGCCTGCCATGGACACAGGAAGAGCAATCTGTCCAACCCTCTTCTTTGGAAAGCAGAAAACCAAGGCACTGAAAGGAGAGAGTATTTGTCCAAATTTTTAGTGGCATCAGGACTAAATCCTAGATGCTGCTGCTGCGGTGACAGTAAATCCTAGCACCCTATGAGGAGCTCCCCCTCTCTCATCTCTATCTGTCTATGCCAGATGCTATTCTAATAGAGCCTTGTATGTGAAAAACACTATTCTAAGACTCCTAGAAGTAAGTACTATTTTTATTCATTTTACAGATTAGGAAACTAGGGTATAAAAAGGTCAACTGATTTGCCCAGAGTCATAGCTGACCTGGAACGCGGTCAGTGTTCTGTCCACCACGTCATGCAGCTTCTCTTTTAATACAGAGAAGCGATGGTCCTTCTCCACCCCCTTTCCAAGACCCCCTGAAGATCCAACCAGCTCACACACACAGGAGCTTCATCAAGCCAAGTCCACTGGCTAACACCGTGCTCCTTACTTCATGGAGCTGCGGGACAAGCAGGCACAGGGCATCCCTCAGCAGCGAGGCCCTGAAGGCGTGGCCTTAGGCAACCCATTTCTCCCAGTCTGCACCTCTTCAAGTTGGCCCGTCTTAAGAACTCTGCTGCAGATGAATGAACATGGCACCTATCACCATGTGACACTTACATGAATGATGATAAGCTTGTTCTCCACCCTACTCCCCTCCAGTGACTTTCCATGTGGGTCCCTGACTGGAGAGAGGAGCTTCTAGGCAGATAACACCACTGTCACCCGGCCCCAGGGGCTGGCCCCAGCAGCCTGCAGGTAGCTCAGCCCTTCTCACCCTTTGTGTTTAGGGACCATCAAGCTCAGGCTTGCAGAAATTTACCAAGGAACATGCCCAATGGCTGTGACTGTGGGTTACCTTCCCCAGGCCCAGACAAATCTCCGATCTGCCCTTTGCATCACCCTACTGCTCCCCAGAGAGTCCCGTAAGCTCCAGAGGCCTAGGGCCAAATGCCCTTGGTGAGGTGGAGACATGCACCAAGGGGACCAGCCAGAGGGCAGGGGGGGATCCTGAAAAGAAAGGCAAGGTGGGACTAGAGGAACAGTAGGAGAGATGATGGTAGAAGTTGCAGAAACATATCTGGGGTTCAGAATGGACCACAAGCTAATTATAAGCCAGATCGTAGGCTAAGCTGATCCTTCTCAAACCCAGTGCTGCCCATCCCTCCTGGAGTCCCCGATTCTACCGTATCAGTAAAGGACAAAAGAAGGTAGAGAGGAGCAGAAAACAAGACCTTGGGAGAAGTTAGAGCCCAAGGGGAATGTCCCTCAAGAGAAGAAAGCTGAGGTATAGGTGAATAAACTCTTTGGAAGCCTTTATGTGTATATAACTGACTTTCCAGAGAGAATATTCTAGCTGCCATCACCCCCAAGAACAGAAGAAGAGGAAAGGAACCTGAGTTGTGGCAGGAGGAATTATGGCTAAACATAAGAAAGCACTTTCCAAGCATGAAGACCAGTAAGCCTGAACATAAGTGACCCGGGGAGATGGAAAAATCCCCCTGATGATCTTAAATGCACATAGGAAGTCACATTTTCTGGGAAGGTGTAGGAGTCTGGTGGTGGGGTTGGCCGAGATCACCTCGGAGCCCAGTTAGAATGCTACGGTTCTGTGGGTCACAAACCAGCAACAATGATGATCAAACAGCATAGATGTCCTGGCTGGGGTGCTCACAGACCACAGAGCAGGAGCCCAGGGTTCAGCCACCCAGCCCTGTGATGCTTCTTGACCGAACCCCAAATTCAATCAGCTTCTCCCCCCAGGGGTGCCTCCCAGGAACCATGATAAAAGGAAGCCAAGCCATCTCGATCCCAGGTAGCTTCAAACTAGAAAAGGTACATTCAATTTCCCCCAAACCTGAGGCACAGAGGTAGCAGTGCCCCACCTATCTCCCAGCCCTGTCCCCGCTTCCTCAGCCTGGAAGGTTCTGGAACAAGGCTAATGACACTCACCCGCATCTCCCTTTCCATTGCCTCCAAAGGGTAAGGTTTCCAGGCTCAGCTGATGCGGACAGAAAGATCCATGTTGGCCCCCGGCTGCCCGGGCATGCAGGGAAAAGAGGGCAGGAGGGCTGAGGGCTAGCCCCCAGCAGATGGGGCGGGGAAGCGGGTTGGGACGTGTCAGGTAATCCTCAGCATAAACAACACGCAGAACTAGCCAGACCTGTCCCTCGCCCCTCCTCCGAGGCCATCCCAGTTACTCAGCGAATACCAAATACTCCAGTGTGAAACTACCTTGCTCCTGACATTGGCTCTGCAGTCAGTGTGTGGAAACCAGGGGTTCTAGAATGCCTCTCAGAGGGGGGTGCTGAGAGAAAGAGCCCAGGCCCTGTGAAGACAGTTTTAGTCCTGCCCACCTGAGCCCCTAAAACAGGCGCTCCCAGGTGCTCCCAAGCACTCTGAGGTATGACCCTGCCCCCACAGGGCATGCCCAAGGCCAGGGACCAGAGTCCCACTCAGGGCAAGGCAGGGCGAACCTTCATCTCCAGGCACCACGTGTCCAAATCGCCAGTCAGTCCACATGGCCGGGCAATTTTGTTTCCTGAGCTTTGCATATTTCTATGAAAACTCTTAAAAAAGAAATTAAAATCAAAAGACCTCTAATTGCACACATAATTAATTGCCTCTATTGAAAACAGTAAAATGTTATGAAACAACACATCAAAGCCAATTATAATAAAACAACCATTTGAATGGAAACGATTCCGAGAAATAGTGGGCTGACTCACAGGCCCAGGCTAAGCCCATGCTCATCCTGGGAGTCAAAAGAAATAGAGGACCAGCCGCAGCTGAAGGGGGGCTTAGCCCCTCCCTGCCCCGCAGAACTGCAGCTGCTAGGCACAAAGGGAGCGTCAGGGGAGCTTCCAGAGGCACTTGCCTGGCTGAGCCTGTGGGGGCTTGAAGATCGTAGTGCCGCAGTCTAGTTAGAGACTGAAGGAAACTCAGAGACCATGCAGGATTCAACTTCCCATTTTACAGATGGAGGAAGAGAGGCCGAGAGGCCAAGGAATCTAACAAACACCAGCAGCGGAGATAATAAAGAGGCCAGGTATCGCCTCTTTAATAAAGAGGCTGGGTATTGCACTGAATACCTTACGTACAGTAATGTGTTGACTCCTGACAACAATCCCATTCACCCATCCCTCCCCCATTCATCCCACAAATATTTATTGAGGGCTCCTCCTGAGCCCGGTGCTGTTCTAGATGCTGGGGACACAGGGGACACAAAGGCAAAGAGCCCTGCTCTGCGGCACTAGCGTTCGGAGTGGAGGTGGGGCGCACAGAAGCAAGCAGATAACTAATGATGATGGAGAGATGGTATATTCAACATACTATATGGATCAGTACCTCAGAGGCGGTGTTCTAGAGCATTAGTATATTGGAACACAGTGCATAGAAAGTGAGGGGAAAGATTTTTCTCCAGAGAGAAAATTACAGCAAGGGAGGAGGGGATCTAGAGGGTGAGGAGGCAGAGGGGCACTGTGGGACATGGTGTCAGGGAGCGCCTCACCAGGGTGACATTTGAGCAAAGACAGGCAGTGACTACGATCCTTCCATCTACAGGTGAGAAATGGCCATTTAGCTCAGAACGGAAACCGTCGGCTCCAGCTCAGGGAGTCTTGAGGGAAATCTAAGCCAGAGGCAGAAGGGCAGCAGAGAGAATTTCTGGAGGGCCCAGGCAGGGTCCCCAAGGACCTCCCATCTTGGGTTATTGTCCAGTGTTACTTTCCTGGTTCTCCAAGCAAGCAGAACTTGGCCACAGGCCACATCCCTTCCTGCCCCTTCAGCTGCCGCCTGACCACTCCCAGGCCGTCGTCCTGTTGAGGAGGTGCCAAATTGGGTTCTCAGCTCCTCCTCGGCCCCCACTTGGGCCACCAGGGAGTAGTATGGCTGTCACTGAGCCTTGGCATCCTTAGGCCAGACCTGAGATCTCCTGCGTCCCACAAGAAACTGCTGGCCTCCCAGGGTTACTTCTGCCTTGTTCTCTGAACAACCCACCGACCTCCGTGAAGAGCTCAGGCTACGGGTTCTGGGCTACTTGGGGGAAGGGCGTGAACCCCGCTCCCAAGGTAAAGGCCAGCTGTGTGAGCTTGGAAGCCTTCAGATTCACCCTCTGGAAAACAGTGATGATACAGCAGACCAGAGAATGTGTCCGGCTGGGCAGGCCCTGGATAAATGTCGGGTTTATTTCTTGCTCTGTTCCTCTGGTTTCCATCAGAGATGCCAGTTGGCCTGTCCCAGAGGCCTTTCTGACCAAGCCACCTGACCTGTGCACCCCCTGCCACCCCCAGCCATCAGTTCAGTTCAGTAGGACTGCTTGCTCAGCGCCAGGCCCCAGAGATGCTGAAAGGCTGGCACCCTGGCATCACGCAGCATATGCGCTGGGGCTTGGGGCCGGGGGAACACTGAGGCATAACTTCTTTGCTGGTAGTTTTCTTATTTCTAGAGGGGAAGTGATTGGGGTGGCCCTGGACTCTCCCCCCAGCAGAACTGGCCTTGGAGGACTGCCCCTGCCCTTGCTCTCTGCACCTGAACCCTGCCTGGCTCTGTCCTTTGCTGTCCCCTGGGAAGGAAGGAGACACCTGTCTGCACCATCTGTGGCCCCCTTTCCTTTGCCCCCCTCCCTCCAGCTCCTGTGCCCACCTCTGCCCTCCACTCGGCAGCTAGCAGCAGCGCAGATACCCAGCAGCCCACTTGCCCCACCTTTCGCCTCCCCCTGAGTGGGGGCCCCAGGTCAGCTACCAGGCCCCTTCATTTCCTACTTCCCAGTCATTTTCATCTGGGCTGGAGGGAGTTTTACAGAAAGAATACGTCAGCCATGTAAACAAGCATGGGCCTTTCAGGACAGCCGGATGAGTGAGAAGTGACAGAAATCTCAGCACTGTTTTGAGGCTCAACTCCCAGCTCTGCACTTTCTTCGTTGTTCCAGCTGCTACTACCCACCCCCTGGCAGCTCCTCCCTGGAGTGACAGTCAGGAAACAGGGCTCTGAGCCGACCTGCCCCCTTGTGATTTGTGCCCCTCCTTCCTAAGTCCTCCTTCAGCAGCTCCACTCCTCATGGGGACCCAAGCCCTCTTCCCTACCGTGCGCCCTATTTCCAAGCTCTCCGTCACTCAGAGCACGTCAGAGGGGCTTCCTGAGGGGGGCCAGGACACAGACCACAGAGGCCGGGCAGGGCAGCAGGGGGACACCGAGCCTCCCCTCAAAGGGAGACCCCCTGAGCAGGACCCCTTCCCTGCCGGAAGCCCGTGCCCTGCTCCCACCCCCATGCCTGGTGCTCCTGAGCCCAGACCAGCTGGGCCGCTGCCCTGGACCCACCCCTGGTGCTCTGCAAGGGGGGTCTGGACATTGTGAGGGAGACCAGGTGGGGGTGGGTTATGCTTCTCTTTGAGCCAAGAGAAAACAGCCCATGGGACTAAACAGAGCCCCGGGTCCCCGGCTGGCCGCTCAACCAACACTAAGGAAGTCTTTCAAGAGACCCTATTGGGGGGGGGTAACTCTGAGGCCCCCTTTTTCCAGCAGATATGGGGCCTCTTGGCTGGGTGGTGGGGATGAGGGGGGCAGGACAGACAGGTACATCCAGGAGAGAGAACCAGAAAGAACACATGGGTGAAACCCTGAAGGCGGGCCAGAGGACAGCCTGGTGACCCCCAGCAGGTCCGTGTCTCAGCATCTAGAACCCCAAACCCAGGAGCCAGGGGCTTGCCTGACCCTTACTGTCTTGTTCAGGACCAGCAGGGGTCAGAGAGAGGCAAAGCCCAGCTCTTCTCCCTATAATCATCACTGTTTCCACTGCATCATCAAAAATCCGTGAGTAGATGGGATAAATAGTGGGAAGCCTGGCAGAACTCCTGGCACCCTCAGCACGGCCCCCACCCCTTGCTCAGTGGGCAGTGGGCGGTGACAGTGAGGATGCCCGGTTCTGCCTTCCAGGACCTCCCAGGCCAGGGCAGCCAAGTCCTCTCCGGTGGACTGGACCCTCTGTGACACCCTACCTAGCCGCCCAGCAGTGCCAGGTGGCTCCAGGGAGTGGAAAAAGAACACCAGCTGGGGACAGTCCTGACTGTCACGGTGCCACCTGTTTCCAAGAAGGATTTGACACAGCTGTTCCTCCTGGTGTTGGCCCACACTCACTTCTCCGCAGTTCCCAGCCCCCTCCGTGGGGACGCACTGCGAAAGTCAAGTCCCGCTTCCCCACGACAGCCCTCCTCATGCCACAGTGCGACCATTCGGAGACCCGGCGAGTCTGCACTTCCCACCTGAGCACGTCCTGCTCCTTCACGCGCTCCTGCTGAGAGACAATTCCAAGTCCCTTCATGAACTCTGGTTTTCCTCCAACACAAAGCCCTGCGGAAGAGTGGGCACAGGGCTGGGGCCCTACGCCCATGTTTACACTGCTCCTTCCCCAGATGATGCCAGGCAGTTGTCACTGGAAATAGCCATCGGACCACTGTTAGTTTTCCCACAGAACTGAAGTCAGTTGTGGTCAAACCAGCAATGCTGACGGACAGGTGGGGCTTAAGCCCAGCGGAGCAAACATGGGTCCCCCCTGAGTACAGCTGGAGTCAAATATTCCCCATGCAAGGATGCACTAGAAGCTTCCTCTGTGGCCATGAGACTCCCACGTTCAGACCGGAACGTCTTTACTCCCCTCTGATCCATCCGACGCTTTCTGGAGGAGGTGAAATGCCATAAGGATCTAGAAAGACAGGCAGCAGGACAGCCTGGCAGTCTGGGGTGGTCACGGGGCGGTTGAGGGGCCTGGGAGGAGCATTCGGAGCCCTGAGTGCTGAGCGGTTTGTAGGATGGACTTTGAGATCAGACAGGTTTGGAATTACAGCTCTGCCGAGCACTGCCTGTGCGTCCCTGGCCAAGTTACTGTTGCCGAACCTGTTTCAAGGAAAATGGCCCCTCACAAAAGGTGTATTTATGTCCACTCAATGAAATCATTTGTATAAAATATTTAGCACAAGACCAATACCCACCAATAAACGGTGGCTATTATGATATAATTTCCAAGTTCGGTTGAACAACAAATGGTGCTTTGAGCAGGTGTGCAGGGCACTAAG